ACATCTACTCCCTTTGTTCATTCGGAACGAAATTCTACATTCCACAATACTCAGCCTTTAACTTCCCCATTTGGTAACCAATCTGTATTTGATCCCAATGGATCAGCAGTTAAACCCACAAATTTGGTGAATTCTACCATTACTAATTCTTTCAACCCCTCAACTGCACAGACAAGCTCAAGACTAATAAACTCGACTAAGGATAGTGGTGTTAATTTGTACAACTTGACGGTTCAGGAGATTATTGAAAGGCAAACTGCTATTCTGGAGAAGAATTTGAAAGATTTTAAGGCTGAAGCAGGAAAAATATTTGAAGAGGACATGAAGTTGATCAATGCTAAAAACAATTATATAAATATCCAGAAGAAAATTGATATAGAGGAATCAAAAATGAACGAAATCATGGAAGGGCTTGATTTCTTTGAAATGGAATTAAAGCGACTTGATGTGGAAGGATTTGATAACAATTCAGAAATGCTGTTAAACATTCAAGAATTTGAAAAAGTTAGTGACAAATTTTATGAAAAGGTTGAAAGTTTTAAGGATGAAAATGAAGGTGTATTGGATTTATTAAATGAAAACTATGAAATGATTGAGATTATAGATAGGAAAATGGATATTTTACAAAAGTACAAAGAGTTATGAATAAATAATCAGATTTTATAATTCCTTTCGAACAATTTAATTAATAATAATCGGATGAAATGAGAAAACTAGGGTTTTGTTATCATGGCTAGGTTCTTTAACTAGAAATAGTAATAAACTATTGATTTTATACATTGAATTCTGTAAATTTTAGGATCTTTAGATTATAAAAATATGCTTTGACAAGGTAAATCTTTGGCTTGGTGGGATTAATTGCACATCTTGAGATGGCAAATATTAATTTGTAATTTTATATTTCTCATTTCAGTATAGAAAATAAATATTATTTATGTTAAAACAATAGTTTATGGTAATGGTCCATCATATGATATTGTAAATCACATCAATATATCATAAATTCAAATTATATAAGATGTTGATGTCTTTACTCGGTTGAAAATTCTTACATGCAGAAACAATCTTGATAACACTTATTAATTCTTTTTTTACTCCCCAAAATGCTAATTAAGTTAAATTCAAAATTACTTTTAGTCCCTAAGTTCCTTTACTTTATACATTCGCTTCTATTCTACTCCATTCATCAGTATAGAAGTGCCTTTCTCTGTAGTCAGTTTGGCATTTCTAAGAAAGAGCTTGGGATTTATCTTGGAATAGCACAGATATGTTCATTTGTATTTGGACTAAAGGCAGCTTCTTATAATGACAAATTTGGGAAGCAGAGATTGTTACTCGGATTAACTATTCCATTGAGTGTGATTTTATTCAGGCTTCTATTTACCTTTGATTCAAAAGTACTTCTCTGGGCCATTTATACACTCTATTTTTCGATATTATCTATAACTCTGCCGATACTTGATAAGGTGATGCTGGATTATTTGGAAAATAACATCAGTTTATACGGAAATCAATCCGTATGGTCTACATTTGGATATATCGTGACAAACTATATTGTAGAAAAACTGATTCAACCATCGGAAAACAGTGACATTGGCCATAGCACTGAGTTGCCTGTTGACTATTCTAAAATCAACTATTACAATTATACGGTTGCAACTGTTTTGTTTATCTCAGTGTTTCTATTCATCAGAGATGTAACGATAAAAAAGAAGCCAAGATCTGCAATAAGATCAGTTTTTACGCTTCTGGGAAATATCGAATATTTATTTTTCATAATAATTATTTTACTTTCTGGAATTACAAGAGCTTCCATGTCTAATGCTTTGGGGCTGTATTATAAAGAAATATTACATTTCTCATCGAAACACTCAGTTGGTGATAAAGCCAGTCTAACTACAGGCTTCCCCAAATTTTTCTACGCCAATAAAGTGTCTACTGCATCGACATTTGGAAATATTTTGGAGGTGATTATTTTCCTTAACTGTAATAAGATTACCAAATCAATTGGATTGTTCTGGCCCATTTTACTAGGACAGATCTGCCAACTAGTTCGTTTCATCTTTTATTATAGATTAAGCCCATCTACCAACTACTGTTTTGAGAAGGTATGTACTGTGGAGCTTTTAAAAGGAGCCAGCTTTGGATTGTTACATACTTCCGGGGTACAACTTGCAAGTAAATTATGCCCACATAACCTAAGGTCATCTTCACAAGTTCTATTTTCCAGTGCATTTGTGGCACTCGGGGCTGTTTTCAGTGGAATAGTGTTCTCTATAATCTTTTCTTCAAAGTCCAATGAAGTAGATAATGGGGATTCTATTAAGGATGAGATGCATATCTCTCTGCTTTTAAACGAATACAAGTCTCTATTTATGTTTAACACTATTGTTACAGTGGTGATTATACTCTTATTTGTATACAAGTATGCAATCAAGGAAAATCTACTATTGAACCAAAGATTATACAATAAAAAGATTGAGCAAGAAGTGGAAGATATAATAGAGGAAGAAGAATTTAGTTAATATGCTATACATCTAATGCAACAAGTATAGTGTCCACAGCTGGAAAGACAAATTATTAATATATGCATTAAATTGAAATTGTGTTAATCTTTAAGTAGTTAGTGTAGGGACAAGTAAATAATTATTTTTTGTACTATATCTTCTTTTCTTGTCTGGAATAGTTATGGATATGTTCAATTGCAAAATTCACTTTAAAGTTTTCCTTTTCCTAACCCCTGTAGAATGATTATTAATGATTGTTTTAAAGTTGTATATATTTTGTCGCCTACATTTGGATTTCTTCCACAGATATTTCGGAATAAAGTCCAATTCTGTCACTTTTGACCGTTGGATCCAACATTCTCAAGATGTTCGATTTTCACCAGAAACAATTTGACATAGTAATTTTATACCAGAGTGTATTACTAATCTGTTTGCATTTCTATATAATAAATTCCTTTAAAGGAACACTCATGGCTTTTGAGAGAAAACTATTCGATACTTTATTCAGATGGAATTCGTACAGTGGTATTTTAAAGAAAAGTAATTTCCTCAAAGAAATGCTGGGAAAGAATATAATTAGTAGTTACAATATAGGCACCAACTATAGTAAAGATAATGACATTAATATTTATAATGATGTGAGCAGTATTAATACCACCACTACTGGTAATTATAATCTTATTTGCCTGAATTCACCCAAATGGTCTAGATATATCGTAAAAAATTCCTCCAAATCCTTCACTCCTAATGAGGCTAACAATACCTGTCTAATTAAGCCAGCGATTCTATTCACCACCCTGTTTGTTTTCGTGTTGAACCTATTGAAATATACCTTTTTTATGAACTTTTTTGGGAACTTCTCTGTAGTTTTGGATCTCTCCATTACAGTTTTACAGTATATCATTTATAAAGGAAATGAAGATAAGCCTGTGGAATTATTTCTAGTTTGGATAGTTGGCGATGCCTTTAAGATATTTTTACTTTTATTTATCTACAAAGCACCAATAGTTTATAGTTTGGGAGTTACGGCGCAATTGATTTTCGATTTGGTAATATTGTTGAAGTGATTAGTCGAAGATCCGAGCATTGTTATGATACCTAAATAAAGTCATAAAATTGATTTTCTATTTTTGACATGTAAATTTCTTTCAATATAGTTGATTTTGTTGGGTGAAAATATCCCTGTGATGTATGTTTTGATTCCATATTGTGTTTATACCTAATAAATCCCATCCTAATCTGTAAATCTTCAACTTTTTTATTTTAAGAAGATTCCCTAGTTTCTTGATTGATTTATTTATTTATTTACTTACTTTTTTTGTTATTGAAAAATAAAAGAACAACATACTGTTATATTGAACTAGAATTGTTACAGAGTGAAAATATTCTTTTCAATCTTCCGAAAAATAATTTTATTTGTTTATAGATATACTCTATTTGAATATTTATTTCGTATAACTTTTTTTTGATGATATACCCCACATGAACATCATGATATTGTATCAGATCTTCGGATTTAGCAATGTAATTTGTGATATAACAATATCCCAACGTAGTACGGAGGAAGATGTTTGCCATGATGATAAATGTCGTAACCAAGTTGTTGATGATAGAGTGTTTGGAGACAAAACACCCGATATACTTTCAGATTATGCAACCAATCTATTCAATGAACTATTATCAAAGGCTAAAACAATTAATATACTACAACCAGGGGATAAAGAAAAAAGGATGATTCATATGATGAAATCATTATTGAAAGATCAATTGATGAGCTACGACTCAAATATTTCTCATCATGCCAATGGGAAGAATAGAAATCCATCAATAGCTGCTACTACAGAAGTGCCAGACAATCTTGATTTATTTCAAAAGCAAACTGGATTAGATTTGTATAAGGCTAAGATAAGTGATGGGATATATGGGGTAGTATTGTCTCCAAAGGAGATTGTAATCCTATTTAGGAAATTAATAGGTAAAGAGGATAATAGCAAGATGGTTATTTCGACCTTAGATGATCTAACTTCAGAAGATATTGAATCATTATGGGCTTTATATAATTATGATGATACATATGAACATAATGAAATCCTCGCATCTGAATTTGATCTAGAGGATCATAAATTTCTAAAGATTGATGAGTCTTGTAAATTACGAGAAGATTTTTTGAATTATATAGAAGTGCTTGATGATATTAACTCCATCTCAGACACTGTTGCTTCTATCAATGAAGAGGTAGATGTGAAGATCATAAGTCTAAGTGAATATTTACATCCATCCAAGTTTGAAAATGTAAGGGATTTTTTTAAATTTTACAAATTAATGAGGAAGTTTTTGAAGTTAATCCGAAATACGAAGTACTCACATTGGAAAACTCACATAATTGGGAGTATTGTTCTAAATAACAGAGATGTTGATGGTTTAATAAGTCCCTTTATTGTTGTTGATCTTGAAAGATTTATAGACATTTTGATTTCAATCCAAGAACTAGAATTATCCGAATCTGCAAGTACAATAATCTATACTGGGATATATCTATCATATAAATCTTAAAAATAAATATATACCCTAAAATCTTTATATCTATCTCAATAACTATTATCTAAAGGGAATTTTATTTCACAAATAGGATTCTATATATTATTAGGATAACTATATATGCTTTAAGATTTGAACTTACATCAATAATTAATAATTACTTAAGAATGTTATTGATAAATTCATGATATTGACTTTATTGAATAAAATCGAGTTGTGATGGCATCCATTTGACTGTATTAATGGAACATCATAGAATCATTACAATCTCATCACTAGGTAAAATATCATAGGATTGAATTTTTAATTAAATGATTCATTTTTCCATATTTTAGTTCTTTCACATGTGTAAAAGAGGCTGTGAAAATATTTCAATTTTCTATGAAAATGGTGAATCTATCTGCAGATTCTTATTGTTAGTAAAACTATAATTCAGGTATAGATCCAGATATATAATAATACCTTATCTCCAGCCATATTTTAAACAATTTCCATTCATACAATCCAAGTTATTATACTTTTCATAATAATATGCCCAATTATATATTTTTTAAAAATATTTTAGTTGTATATTTTTCCCCTTATGAAACCTTCAAATTCTGAAAAAGAATTTTACTTGGATTCTTCATTCGACTATTCTAAACTTACTAAGATGGAGCTGAGAGACATAATGTCCATAAATAACATAGAGGAGATCCCTCCACTTTCAGCCAAAAAAGATGTTATTTTACAGGCATATAAAAACAATATTCATGATAGAATCGAACAAATTAAAAAAGCCAGAAACTTTAGCAGAGAAAATATATTTCAAAGTGAATCTGAGAGTGAGATGAGTGATTTGAAGGATATCGAGCATAGAAGAAGCTCTATTATTGGACAACAAAAAGTTCATGAACGAAATTCCATTGGAAGTGTTCGACATGATTCAAGTAATAAAAATTTTGATGAATCTCCTACAAATACCCTTACAGATTCTCATCATAGTGACAATAGTTCGTTTTTTGACAATTCAGATTTGTCATCTCTTAAGAAAAATATTTCAAAACTAAAAAAGGATAGGATTATCTTAACTGTTGGAAAAAACAATAGTAAAGTAGAAGGATCTATGAGTGAGGTTGATATGGTTAACAAGCCAGATTCTGGTAATGTATCAGACATATTTAATAAGTCAAATATTGAAAATAATTCATATTTAAAAAATAACCAAAGTATTTCTGAATTTTCTAACCGGTCATTTACTTCAGAAACTTCTAATGGATCATCTATAAATAGTGTATATAATAGTGCATCGTCCATACAAAATATCCCATTCTCTAACAAAACTACCAAACCGCCTGCATTTACTACTGTTAGGTCAGCACGCTTCAATATTAGAAAATTTCTAATCTCATTCCTATTTTTGATTATTCTATGGTATTTGAAATTTAAGAGTCCTTACTGTGAAAATGGTAAAAAATGGTGTATTCCACCTCCATCAAACTCTCATATCTTAAATGGACAAATGATATGCAATCCAGGATTTATAAAGGTTAAATCGATCATAGATCATTGTGTTCCTGAAAGTATGAAGACATATCAGATTGAAGCATTCCGAATTATCAGGGAGTTGGAGTATATTCATGGTGAATATATATACAAACTGAGAGCGACTCCAGATGTGCCAATATCTGCATTAACTATAAATCAAAAGGTTATAAAGATACTGAAAGAACTATCACTTGATCACAAAAACGGCAAGGTTAACAGCTTACCAAAATCTGATACAAGTATCCACAAATTTGTGATATTTAATGACAATAAGATTCGAGCAGTAAAGTACAAAGTTTCGACTCTGTGTTTCCTACATTTTTATGCATCAATTTTGATTAAAATTATTGTTTCAATTCTTACGATTTATATCATAACAAGGCTGATTGCACAGCGATTTAGACGAAATCGTATTTACAGGATTGAAGCTATTGAGAAAATGAAGGATGTTAATGACATTTTGAGTAGGCAACTTCTAATTGCTCTCAAAACAAACCTAATTAGGCCCTATGTGTATATTGAACAGATTAAATCTGTTTTGAATATCTCAGATAATGTATGGTACTATGTCAAAGAATTGGTAAATACCAGCTGTAATATTGAAGTGAGATCAGATAAAGAAAGAAGAATCCAATGGAAGTGGATTGGACCAATTTTACTAAAAGGAGAAGCAGAAGATTCCTCAAATAACAATATTTTTTAAATTTAAATAAAAGTGCACTACAGAATTATATTCACAAGAATCGAATTTTTCTATAAAAACTAGTCAATTTCAGTTTTACAAATCATTTTTTGTAACCTGCTTTTATTTATTAATAATATATTTAGTAACTTATGAAAATCATCAATTATTAATGCCGATTAGAGGTTGATAATAGCATCTTTCTTTACTCATTACTCTGTGGTATTTAATCATTTATTCCTCCATGTTTCCATAATATCCAAATACTCTCTCATTTCTTCCCTGTTTTCTATTATATCTATTACTGTGGGTAAATCTTTAAATTCTTTAATATTATCTGGGTCTAGGGGAATTGAAACCTTCATAGTATCAGGGTGTATGGAAAATGGCATCTTTATCAGATGATTTGTCTTTATTGTAACATCTCTATCAATTCTAATAAAGTATTTCTGGATCAGATCAGGTCCATGAAAATACTCTGAAATAATCCTTGTATATTCCTTGTTCGAAATATTCCTATCAATTACATTCTGGAAATACTTATAAATATCGAATCTAATCGAGCAGTCCATTTCTTCCTCACCAAAAACCCAACAATGAATCCCTCTTCGACCACTGAAAACGAACCCTAACTGATCAAATCCAAACTCATTGCGTAAAATATGATCAAGCAGCTTTATAGAGCACTTAATTATTTCAAAACATTTTTCACATATCTTCTTACTATCACAGCAATCACGTGGATAATCGGTCAGATCGATATCAAACACCAGCTCTTTGCCAATAATCTGAGATCCATTCAATTTATTTGGCTTTGTATCATAAATTGCACCCACATCGATTCTCAGCGGATTTAATTTAGAAATTCTTTCCAAAAATTCCTCTGCAGTATGAAATGTCTCATATCGAATAAATTGCTTCGAATTTGTCTGAAAAGTGATTTCTTTATTTTCACAGATGTGAAGAGTAGTGAACAATTCCCTAAATGGAAATATTTCCTTGTAATACTTCTTAAATACAGCATCATCATTATTGACTAGAGTAGATTCTTTACCCATTTCAGGGGGATTTAAATCGAAATTTATATGTTGTTCAAGATTTCAAATGGTTATCATAAATTAAAATTGATTTGAATAGAGAATATAGTTGGTTCATAAAGTAATGGTCCACATTTTTAATATGAATGGCTATAAAACTTAATTTATAGAAGTCTTGTTATAAATATCCCTAGCATAAATAACTGTTTGTAATACTCCACACTGAAGAATCCATATGGTCAAGAGCTTTATTTACTGAAATGGTATGGTAATATACACTTGAAATCACAAAATTGTATGAATATTTTTATTTATGAATACATTTTACCTAATCTTTTTGGGGTCAATAATTTGATCCTTTAAAATATTTTTAGAAAGTGAATCTTCCAAATGGGCATCCACTTTTTTTACAAGTTCTTCGTCTTTTTGATCTAATTGTGTATTTTCCTCAATTTTTTGATCTTCTTCTATTTTTCGGAACTTTTCCATATAGTTTCGACTATTAAAGAGTAAATTTTCTAAAATTCCATATTTGAATATAAACAATCCAATAATTCCAATGGTTAAAACAGAATCACACATAAACACACTCCTGTACTCCTTCAACAACACTTCTTCGGGTTGATCTGTATTTGAAGAAAATAGTAGGGAGAATATAACCCCACTTAAAACTGTTCCAAGAGCCACAAACGTTCCTGTGTATAACACTTGGGAGGATGATCTCAGATGAACTGGACACAGCTTTGTTGCCATCTGTACAGCTGCTGTTTGGAGTAGCCCATAATTAGCCCCTTTTAGCAGCTCAATAAAACATGATTTTTCAAAAACATAATTTGATTGGGGATCCAGAGCAAAGTATAGAAGAAATCTAGCCAATTGGCAGAACTGACTGAGTAAAATCGGCCAAAACAGTCCTAAGTATGAGGTGATGGAACTACTATTGAAAAAAATAATCACTTCCAATGCATTTCCAAACATTGCTGCCGTGGATATTTTACTACGATAAAACATATCCACGATTTTATTCCCTCTTGTAGGCTCAGGATCTGAAAAGTGTAAAACCTCTTGATAGTAGAGACTCAAATATGTAGACATAGAAGCCCTGGTAATCCCGGACAGAAGAATTATAAAAATAAAATACAGGTATTCCCTGTTCTTTAATAGAGAGAAGACTGAAGAAGTAGCACTTCTCTCTTGAGATCTAACGGATGTATTTTGAACGAACAATATCACCGCTACGAGTGCAGCAGTTCCTGCAAAGTAATTATACACATTAATCTGTGAATAATCTAACTCTCCAGACTCTGTCTGTGTCATCTTTTCCACAATATAGTTGGTTAGTACAAATCCAAATGTTGCCCAAACTCGTTGTTTTCCGTAAGTCTTACTTCCTAGGTTTGGAATCTTTTCCAAGTATTCAATTACGACTTTGTCCAGCAAGGGCATTGTAATAGATAGAACTGAAAAATAAAGAATGTACAATGGCCAAAAAATGACAGTCGAACTTACCAAGAAAAATAGTTGAAAGACCACTATACTCAATAAAATACTGGAACCTATCAGTAATTTCTGACGCCCAGATTGATCATTGTAGGCTGCTGCCTTCAATCCAAAGACAAATGATATTGTTTGAGCAATACTAAGATAAATTCCAAGATGGGATTTTGAAACCCCAAATCTTGAACAAATAAGCGATCCTCTAAACTGATGTATGGAGTAGAACAGCATAGATAATGACAAATAGAGTACTTTTGGTATCGGAAGAATGAGTCGATTTAAATTTCTGAACATTTTGGGGTTAGTAAACAAATCGAAAATATGAATAACAAATTGATTAACTGAAGTATATTAGAGTTATGGAGAGTTCAAGGTTTTTTACAGAATAAAGAATTTTATGCAATACATTATATCGTAATTGTTTTATTAAAAATATAATTTTCCCTTCAGTGTTAGTATTTAATTGGGTGTAGTTTGGACATATGTAAGTATTACAGTGGTATATTATGTGTATGAATATAACTGTGATGGAAACTAAAATGAGTAGAAACAAACTCATCTAATCGTGCTGTATATAAAACTATCATCTTCTTAGAAAGATTAAAGGTTGGCTCAATAGAATTTTCATTAGATTCACAAACTATGCTATAGTTAAAGACACAAATGTGATTGTATACCAAAATTTTTATAAAACTAAAGCATTTCAATTACACTACACTTATAGAAAATTCTATTTAGTATATTGCCAATTCTCGGAGTAAGCCCGGTTCTTAATTTTGAAATTCAGTAAATGAAACTCTAACAATTCAATTATTTAATAAACTATCATTGTTTTATGTGGAGTTGAAATGGAAAATAATACTTAAGCCTGTAGAATTCAAAATAAACTACTTTGTCCTAAAATCTTCTTTCCAAGAATCTTAATGCTTCGCTAGCTGGCCCATTTAACAAACTATCATCTGAGTCTGATGCATTTTCCCATGCATCGTTTTCGGAAACTTCATAGCCTTCTTCAATATCTTCCTCACTAGACTCATCGATCTCAATACGGATTGAACAATCACTATGCATATCTTCATTCAAAAAGCTTTCCCCACTGGATTGATCACTATTTGAAACACTGTCGATTGAAGAATCATTATTTTCTTCTTCACTGACAGAATATTTGTGTGGCTTATCCTCTACTGAGGATAAAGTTTCTTCTTTCTCAGTATCTTTTATTTTGGTTTCTCTAGAATACTTTTGACTTATAAACATTCTATGTTCTTCATCTATTTGATTTTTTATCTTTTCAAAATCATCGGAATATTTTATCTGTGCAACTTGAAATAGTTCCTCAGCTGTTAATTTAGTAATTTCAAACTTTTCATTAAAAAATTTCTTGATAATTTCCAGATGTTTCATTATGAGGGAGCAAAAATTTTATCAAAAATATTTGATAGAATTAGTTATTAACAGAGTCTTGATGAATAATTGATTTGAAAATACTTATAGACCATTAGGTAGAATATCTTATTCATCAGTATAGATACATTTAAAATAGATACATCAAAGCATAGTCAATGTCCAAGTGCTGATAAAACCCCATTTGATCAGTACGTTGATGATATGGAGTATATTATTAAAATTACTGAAATATATCTTGTTTCGTCAATATTGTTGCTGTTGATTCTTCTTATACTTACGAAGTCTACTACAATGATTAAAATATCAGAACTTGAACCAGAAATACCGACCATTAGAGATGTAAACAAGGTTTGTATGAATACAGCTTCATTAAGAAACATCAAAGTCGTACTGCAATAGGTTTGCCAATGCTAAGAATTTAAATATAAATAAAATGTCTTTTAACATCCAATGTCCTTTCAACTCAATCTTATTTTATGTTTTGGAATAATTGATGCCATCATATAAAAATTAATTATTTAGGATTTTGTGTAATTAAAAAGTTCATCCGAATTTTATTGAACTTGTCATTCAAATACATAATTGTTGCATACTATACTGATTTCCATTATGTAAAATCTAATCAAATACATTTTCCAGGTAAATTAAAAAATAAAACACTGTTTTAAATTGCATATTTAGGTTTGGAGCCAAGTTCGTCTATGCTTCTGGAAAATATTTTAAAAACTTCATTTGTAATTGTCGATGCAGATACCAATCTGTATGTTGGCCAAAGTGGCTCAAAGTTAGGCCGTGTTTCTGACAAGCAGAAGGCATTGGAACTAATAGGAACATATGCAAATGGGAGAGGTATTAATATCGGATTAAAAACAGACTCTTCCCAGAAACTTGCAGTGAATTATGATGAATTGGCATTAACCAAAACATCCAACAATGAAGATATATACATAACACAGGTACAAAATGATGGGTTCAGCATTCGAAGTGGCTCAAAGTGTCTGACTAAATCAGAATCACTGAAGTTTGTAAACTGTACAGGCAATCAAGATGAAATCTTCAAGATAGTTGAGGCTCATTTTGAAGATATGGTTGGGCAAACTGAAAAATTTTATATTAAAGATCCGAAAAGTGGTAACTTTTTTGGAATGGAAACATTAAAAGAAGGACAAGGATCATGGCTTACTCTCGTTTCTAAAAGTAAAGCTATACCTACCACAATTAAGAAAGTGGTTAAGGTTGATACACTTGCCATAACTACACCGTTACTGAAAAATACATTATGGGACTATGGTAACTCTGTTATATATTTTAATCGAGATTCTGATTTCCATGGTAGGGCAAATCAAATGTTTCACTTCAAGAATACCGGAAAGGGATATCAGATTATTACTGATGTTTATAAATGTGTATTTTATGATGAAAAAAATAAATCCATTAGATGTAAAACTTGTGCTGGAGGAACTGAGGAATTCTTTGGAGTATTATCTCAGGCACAATTTGATGGTACTGAAAAAGAATTCGTGGCACCATCATCTCCTGCTCCAACTCCAGCACCGGTAGAAGTAGATAGCTCGCCGAGCCATTTGATATTTTTGAAAAATACTGGCTCTAACAGTTATATTGGATTCACTTCATCAAAAGAAGGAAAAGTAGGGCCAAGATCCAATGCATCCAAAATATCTTTAGAAGAGTACAGTAAAACAAAGGACACATATATAATAAATTTAATAGAGCGAGGATTAGTAATGGATTTAAGGGGAAACATGGATCAAATCATTGAATATCCCAAACATGGAGGAGTAAATCAACGATTTAGTTTAGAACCATACAATAATGGGAAGTTTTATATAAAAAATGCTGGAAAATGTATATCAGTTGTTGATTCTTCCCAACAGTTGCTGAAATCCGAATGTAAGATTGGTGATTCTTCTCAACTATTCGAACCTGAATTGGCTAATTAATAAATTATACGGATACTAGGTTAATATTGTAGATAATTCTTTATTATTCCAATAAGTTACTTGATAGAGTTTCAAAAATAGTTTAATTTAACCATCATTTATTTTCTATCTACTTGGATGTTCAAGCTTTTATTGTGCTTAAAGTACATATTCTTAAACATCATCTACTAACAACAACCTTTTCTAGTTTAGATAGAATGAAGCTATATAATAGGAATATATTATTTATTAAACAATTCTCAGATTTAGGTATGTACAACAAACATAAATAAACTCATATTAAAAAAAGACATTTCATTCCTATAAAATATTTAATTAATCTGAATCACTCACTGCATCAATTATGTCTTTCTTATCCAATCTTTGTGTAAAATCCTCAATTTCACATAAGACATGATCAGGTAAACAATGTAGATTAATTTCAATTTCATCATTTCCAATATATTGAAAATTACTACAGTTTCTCTGTATAATATCTACTACTCTTTCTGACTCATCCTTTCCCATATTCAGAATGAGACGGCCTAATTCTTCTCTATCAGCAATAGTAAATACTTTCTTGCCTGTGGAATGTGCCTTAGTCTGCTCCAGCACTGCAAGTTTGCTTTTAAATTCACTGATTTTTCTTCTTAACTCTTCGATTTCCGATTCCAATGTTTTTCTGACCTGGGTTGTATTGGTGTGGTAAATAAAATCATCCAAAATCTTTTTGTACAGCATCTCAAATTCCTCACCCAGTTTATAAACATCCGTATTTTCTGGATTAAACAATTTGCAATTGTCAACGATAAACTGTAAATCGGCTTCAAATTCCTGGATAGTCTTATATTCAGGAATTTTGTTCCTAATAGTGGATAAGTCCATCGGATTGTTAATAATATCATGGTATCCAGGAACCTCTTCAGAACTTACAGGCAATAGGAATGGCCAGGTGATTTTGCGATTTCTGTTTTTTTCTAATTCATTCAGAACTGAGGTGATATTATTAGAAAGAGGAGTATTCATGTTAACATTTGGTGGGGAATTTACAGGACTGCTTTGCTGCTTTGTTCTTTTTGGAATTGCTTGCTCCTCAAACTGTCTTTTCTGAGTTTTCTTTATAATCTCTTTTGGTAGATCTACCCACAGATTGTCAAAAAGCTTTTCAAGCTCTTTGGCCATCAAACTTACTGGTGAATCTACTCCATTGTAATAGTAACAATTGGAAAATATTAGTTCGACATCATGATGAAATTCCTCAGCTGAGTTGTATGAATCACTATTCGGAACTTTGGAAACTGAAGAACGCCTATCCAATTTAGCCCTTATTATAGAAATATCCATTGGATGCTTTATTTTATCATAATAGTCTGGTATGCCAAAGGCCACTACATCTACAGGATGTAAAAATGGTCCAACATTTTGATTACGCTTTAATCGAGTGATTATTGATGAACAGTATTTCAGTTGGGTTTCAAGCAGTTCTGGATTTGTATTATTGGATTGTTGATCCGATTTGAGGGCATTGACATCATCTGTAGATGATTCATTAGTAGGGACAGCTCGATCCGAGATTTTCTCGTTAAAACCATTGTTTTTGTCATTGGTTGAGTCGATAAATTCACTTTGAGTCGTGGAAGATTGACCCTCCTTGGAGAAGGCATTTTGTTCAGGATTATCCTGTGTTTCCTGTGAAAGCATTTTGAGGGTAAAAAAGTAGGAAAACGATTACAATGAAATTTGGAAGTGAGTCATAAGCAGCCTAGTATTAAACTACAGATTTATGAAGACGTGTACAGCTCAACTTCATCTTTTATAATAAGGATCATGCAAATCCTTAATCAACAGAATCGACGTAAATTCTAAATTTATTAACTAGTAATTTCGGGCTCTGGAACTTCTTTTCCATATTTATTTAAATATACTATATTTTTATCTGTTTTCGATGATACTTTGATTCCAAAAAATGATTGTGATTCATCATTTTGGTCACATTTTTTCTCGACAAGTAAATATGCATCTTTGGAGTTTATATAAGAACCAATTGCCATACATGCCTTGGATAAAACATCGAAAATTTGGTAATTTTTAGTATTGGGGATCTTATGGAAGTTCCAAGTTGAAAGATTACTCTCTAAACATGTACCGATCTTAGAACTACCATTAGAAGAACATAGAAACTGACCAGCCAAATTAATAGATGCATTATTAACGTCGGTGTTTGTTGGGATTATTTGAGGTGGGATTACATTATATGAATTCGATGTAAACAAATCCTTGGTGGGAATAAGATAGGCTGTATTGCCTTGCCTTGCCAATGTATGTGTTGAAAACCTAGTACTCTTAATAAGTACTTCCCCAACATCAATAGTCAGATTTGTACTATTATTTGCATTCCCATTTAGTTGAAGAGTCGTTAAAATGTGAAATAAAAAGAGCATAGATGGATACTTCTACTGAATTAAATATTAGTTTGTGAAACTGTTTCATATAATTTCTGTAAATGGAAATCAGGAAGATTGATATCGTGAAACCTGGAGTGACGATTGCAAATCAATAAATAAAATCTATCATTTTTTATCGTAAATTATATATGCTGGTTTATGATTACCATAATGTAATAACTACGTTTAAATAAGCTCTATTACTAGAAAAGAGTGCATTTTATTAAACTTCAAAGACTAATTTTGGGATGCAGATAACCATAAGACTATAGTACCATCACAAATTATAAGCTATCAAGCATCAATATTACATCCTTAGCCTGCTTCAACTGATCTGCTGATACTTACAGTTTATTCTTTTAAAATCTTCATTTTTTTACCCAAATGGAAAAAATAAAGGAATATGTGCGTCAGCACTGCCAAAACTTTAAATACACAATTACTCCTTCAGAAGAAGACGAAATTGCTGTTCTCTACCGAATGAACAATAAAATCTTTGATAAGAGCTCGTTAATCTTGCATATTGAAAGGTTTATTGCGAGTGCGCAAAATCAAGATGGAAATAAAGAAAATAAAGACTGGAGAAGAAAGCGTAGAGCTAGCGTGTGTGCTCAAAAGATCTTTGTGGATGAACTAACAGAAGAGTTGGATCTTCCTAAAATTGAAAAAACATGCTCGACTCGCTCCATTTTATTGCATGCATTAGGGACTGGCCTCACAAAAGATATTTTAAGCTTTTCACAAAGAATTAATTTAGTAGACTACATGATTCCAGTTTGTGTTGGCAAAGGTACTGTTTTTCTCAGGGAAGGTGATATCTGTAATGAAATGTACATAATCGAAGAAGGGAAATTCGATGTATTCGTTGGTGGCCAGCATAGATCGGAATTGACATCTGGGACTGGCTTTGGAGAGATTGCATTGCTCCATTCGGTTCCCAGGACAGCCACAGTTATTGCTTCCGAAGATTCTAAAGTGTGGGAAGTAAAACAAAGTATTTTTTCAGCTATTCGGATAAGAGATAGATTGAAAAACAGAGAGTTGATAAAAAATGCACTGTTTCTCAGTGGGCTGTTCTCTAATGATTCCCAACTTGAATTGGCTTGTCTAAACTGCACATGCAAGTATATTACTACTGGAACATGGGTAAGTGTATATAAAGAGTTTGAAAGAGCTGTGGTGCTGACCAGAGGAATGATTAAGGGAGAGTTTGATTCAAGGGTGGATGTTGGAGATTTAATAGATGACAATTTCACGGCAATGACTGAGATGGAGATTGCAATGATTCAATTACCAAGATGACCCTAACCAATAGATCAATTCATTATATCGTTAAATAAAAACCCCATTTGATTGCCACTATATTAATAAAGACTGTTGCAAGAAACAATTGAGCCCATGTCTTTTTCAACTATCAAAATTAATATTGGATAACTACCTTTATTAGTTGAATAATAAAATGTATGTGGGAAATCACAGATACCAACGATTACTCTTGAGTATTAATAAGAAAATTAATTTGTATGCCGGTAATCAGAAATTACCAGGCTATATTCCAAATACTTTGATATTATGAGGCATTTCCTGTTTCATTAATCATTTATTTAATATTTTATTTATATGTTATAGCTGTTTTAATTTTCAGATAAATAAAAAATTTATTCAGTCCCTTATGTGTGGAATATTTGGAATAATAACAAATGAAAATGAAGTGACCAAAAAAGAGGTTGCAACTACCCTTATCAATGCTTTGGAATGTATGGAATATCGAGGATATGATTCGGCAGGAATGTGTATATTAGATGGCAAATCAGATCCATTATATATTAAAATAAAGGGTCGGATGCATTCATTGATGGAGAAAGCTTCGGAGATTATGGGTAGACAGCCGTTGAAAGGAAATCATTCGACCATGCTGGGAATAGCTCACACAAGATGGGCAACTCATGGCGAAGCATCTGAAAGAAATGCTCATCCTGTTACAAGTGATGAATCAGGAAGCTTTTTTGTGGTGCATAATGGAATAGTGTCCAACTATATTACACTTAAGACTGGACTATTGGGAGAATCTTATACATTTGAAACAGACACAGATACTGAGGTAATCAGTAAATTAGCATTGAAGTTATACAATGAAAATTCCAGCATTTCCCTGTTGGAAATTGCCAGGAAAATTGAGGGTATGTGTGAAGGTTCATATGCGTTTATAATAATATCTCGGCTTTATAAAAATCAACTTGTAGCTGTCAGATCTGGTGCTCCATTGATTTTAGGTGTGAGTAGGGATTCAGACGTAATTGAAGGAAAGATCTTCAATCAGTCGAAATTTTATCTAACCTCCGATGTGGTTTCTCTTCTTAATCACACAGAAAACTTTATCAATCTCGTTGATGGAGATATTATAGTTATAGATGAGTGTAGGGCGGAAATATTTCCCAGATCGGAGAATACCACGTTTGATTCAAAAAGAAAGATTTCCAAATTGGGAAGTAATTTCGGTGGGGCAATTAAAGGAGAGTACGATCATTTTATGATTAAAGAAATTAATGAGCAGGTCGAAACAATAGTAAATTCAATGAGAGGAAGGGTCAACTTTGAAAAAAAGACTGTTTATTTAGAATCTCTCAGCCATTGTGCTAATAAGTTTATTGGTGCTGAAAGATATTTTTTTGTTGCTTGTGGAACATCTTATAATTCGTGTTTGGCAAATAAGAAGTTATTCGAGGAAATGACCGAAAAACCGGTTGTTGTTGAAATTGCATCGAACTTTATGGACTATAGTCCAAAAATTACTGCAGACGATGTAATATTTTTCATCAGCCAATCTGGAGAAACTGCAGATTTAATATCTGTTCTACATTACTGCAAGGAATCAGGAGGGGTTTGTGTTGGGATCACCAATTGTTCATCGAGCACCATTGCAACACAAGCGCATTGCAATTTAGAAATCAATGCTGGAATTGAAAAGTCTGTAGCAAGTACAAAGGCTTATACCAGCCAATTTATATGTATTGTGTTGATCAGCTTATACATTAGTGAAATGAAGAATAGCAAGGCATCATCTTCCAGATTATTGAAGAGAAGAGAAGAAATAGTTGCCGAGTTGCAAAAAATCCAGGAGAAGATCTCAATTACGCTCAAGAAATCAGTAGAAAAATTTGTTGGACAGTTATATGGGCAGGAATCAATGATTCTGGTTAGTAGAGGTTATCAAGCAGCTACTTGTCTTGAAGGAGCTTTGAAAATCAAGGAAATCACATATATTCATGCTGAGGGTATCTATGCTGGAGAATTGAAGCATGGTCCACTTGCCCTAGTAACTCCAAATCTGAGTATTCTTATAATTATTTCAAACGATGAGTTTTATGCCAAGTCCCATAGTGCTTTTGAACAGATCCAGGCAAGAGGAGCAACACCCATGGTTATTTGTAGTGAAGATATTGAGGACCAGTATGAAAATTGTGTTTCCGTTCCAAGAACAATTGATTGCCTTCAGGCTATATTGACTGTAATTCCTTTACAGCTGATTTCATATCAGTTAGCTATTAAAAAGGGAATTGATCCTGATTTTCCAAGAAATTTAGCAAAATCAGTCACCGTAGAATAAATCAATTCTGTTCATTATTTTTTCCTATTGGATTTAGATGAGGATTTATTGGTAGATAACTATTTAAAACAACCCATCTCCTCAGCCAACAAAAATTCTATTAAATACATACAGAGTATTTTTGGTTGGAAATCAATTACAGACGGCACCTGCTTCTTTTTGTAGAATCTAAAAACTACAAATAAAATGCTGTAACTGGCCATTTATTCATTCAATAGTTTTCTATTACTGCTTTGTTTTAACTTCACAAATAACTACTTAAGCTTTATATCAAAATAGTAACAAACCCAGAAAATAAAATCCATCGCATATTTTCAAACCAATTTTTACTTCCAGAGGGGTTAAGCCAGATCCTTGATGATACCATCTATTAATAGTGATGCTTCTGTATAGGTATCATACCAAACTGACATCATCTTATGGTTGTAGATTCTGAAGTTATAGATGCATCGATTCATAATATTTGTTCATATTTGTTTGTATTCAAGGTATTTATATATTTTTATGAGAAGTAAATATTGATGGAATATTTTAGCTTACTTTATGCGATAATCATATCTACAGCACAGCATAGAGAAAATTTGAGCACCGAAATAGTACCCTATGAATATGATGTTAAAATCGACATCTCGGAAGAGAAATTTGATGGAGAAGTTACTATATTTACATCTGCACAGAATAGAACCAATCTGATACGCTTGAATTCAAAAAATCTGAACATTGAGAAAATACAAGTATTCAAAGATAACTGTTCTTCCTTGGTAAATAAATCCTGCTCAACCGAAATGCAAGGAATAACATTCTCTGAAAAAGAAGAATTTCTAACAATAAAGCTGCCTGTGTCAATTTCTGGGAAATTAAACATTCTTATAAAATATTCGGGAAACTTCTCAAAGTTAAATGGGCTATACAAATCAGAATACAATAACACAAATATTTTTTCTACTCATTTCGAACCTTCAGACGCTCGTGCTGTATTTCCTTGTTTTGACCAGCCCGATTTAAAAGCTGAGTTTAATATAAGCCTAGTAGTTCCGGATCAATACATGGCATTAAGTAATTCATCCGAAAAAAGTGTTGAGAAAATTAAAGACACGAACAAAATGAGGTATACCTTTGAAAAAACACCGATAATGTCCACTTATCTTGTAGCCTTTGTAGTAGGGAAATTGGATTATATTGAAGCCACGTCTACAGTACCTATCCGTGTATATGCAACTCCTGAAGAAAAACAATGGGGATTACATGCTCTTGAAACCGCTTCAAAATGTTTGAAATTTTTTGAAGAATACTTTGGAATTCCATATCCATTAAAAAAATTAGATCTTGTGGCAATTCCGTCCTTTGCAATGGGAGCAATGGAAAATTGGGGGCTGATTATTTTTAGGAAGACCAATTTGCTGTTTGATGAATCATCATCGTCTATCAGGTCTAAGGTGTATATCACTGTGACTGTTTGCCATGAAATTGCCCATATGTGGTTTGGAAATCTGGTTACAATGAAATGGTGGAATGATTTGTGGCTGAATGAGGGATTTGCCACGTGGGCAGCATCTCTAGCGATTGAAAAAACCAAAATTATTGATTGGGATGTTTGGACTGCATTTATTAATGATGATGTTGAGAGTGGAATGTTAGCTGATTCTTTACAATCCACACACAAGGTGGCGGGTGAAGTGTACAGCCCAAATGAAATAGGCCAGATTTTTGATGCAATTTCATATTCTAAAGGATCCTCAATCATAAAAATGTTAGAGAACTGGATTTCTCCGGAAAAGTTCCAAAGTGGTCTAAAGAAATACCTGAAAGACTTTGAGTATAAAAATAGCGTTACAAGTGATTTGTGGAACTCTCTTGACTCACAGATCAATGCTAAGCATGAAGAAAACAATTTACCACAAGTGATTTCTAGAACATTCAATCTGATTGATGAAATGAATATAATAAACGGAAAGTTTAATTTGATTAATGCTGGGAAAGAAAAGGATGTTCTACAAGATGGAAATTCTGCAGATACTATTACATCTGTTATAGATCCTTGGATTTTTAGAAATGGATTTCCATATTTAGAAGTTAAAGATGAATCTGAATATATTTATTTGATCCAAAAGAGATTCACACTTGGCCATAGGAAGGAAAATGAACCATCCTGGCCCATTCCAATCAAGATACGATGGTTTTATGACAGGAAGATCAATAGTAATAAGGGGACCGAAATCGTAACGGAAGTGCTTATGAGGGAAAAAGAAATTAGAATTCGAAAAGTGACAGATCTTTACAAAATCAACGATGATGCTTCTGGATTTTATAGAGTATTATATCCCAATGATGTTTTTGATAGAATTATTCAGCTTAAAATGAGTGACCAAAATAGATTAAATCTGTTTGCAGACTCATTTCAAATGGGACTTGCACTAAAGGGAGAGTTTCCCATCAAGTATATTGAAAAGTTGACAAATGAATCTAATCATGAAATTCTTTCAAATGTCTTGGGAAATGTTGTTGCGCTTAAATCTATATTCTATGACATGCCAGACATTAGGAACAGGCTTGTAGAGGTTGTAAATCTACTTACTGAAAAACGAGCACAACAATACGATCTATTTTCACCACCAACCTCTATAAAAGGACTCTCACTAGCTAGTATGCTGGTATCACATGCTGTTCTTGCAGGAACCCTAAAAGTAACATCGTTGGATGTCCATCAAGAGTTTAAAAAGCAATATTTTATGACTATAGTTGATGAAGATTTTGAAGAGGTAAAGGATTTTTATCTTAATAGTAATCTTCCAGGTCAGAAAGAGGCAGCCTTATTTGCCCTAGGAACTGTCAAGGTTAAAGAGAACCTTGTAAAACTTTTTAAGGATATTTCATTTGTGGAGGATCAGGATATTATCTACCTATTTGCAGGTTTAAGTTTGAACTTGGAATTTAGAAACGATATTGCAGAGTTTTTTATTGACAACTTTGATCAAATTAAAAGTCAGGTGGCTGACTCTGGATTGTTGAGACGTGTTATAGAGTATTCTCTAAAAAATATTTTGCAAGATGGTTATCGGGAAAAAGTTCTGGCATTCTTGGATCAAATTAGTACAGATGAAGCACTAAATACTGTAGTTGAAAAATGTAAAAATTCTATTACCTACAAAATGAAGGTCCGCAAAGCTTTTGAAGAACGAAGCAGCTTTTATTGACAGAATAAAAGGTTTATTGAATTTATTGTTAGCTGGAGAGCTAGTGCATCAACTGTGTTATAATGCCAAAATAATGAAGCTGAAAAATACTTCTTAATTATTTACTATTTATCATCAGGCCAAAATACTTGTAATTTCATCTCCAACTTCCCATAATTTTTTATTGATTTTGACAATAAGCTATTTTATACATTTAATATATGGAACTAATCTTTGGAATTCCAGAAATATTATTCTCCTTTAAAACTATTGGAAATGTGTTCTTTAAATTATAGTAATTTTCTCCTTTTATGAAAAACCTCAAATCGGTTTGTTTTGATCTGGAAAATATCACATTTCATCCAGTGACCAGAAAAACAGCAACTGATGTTGAATGGACAGAGGAAGATTCATTAATTTGGAATAAAATGAAATTCCTACAGATTTCTAGTGAGCATAAGTCTAAAGAAATAGAAGAAAAATTATGTAGTAAATTTGATTTAAAGAATCTTCAAAAACTGTGTGATGACACATGTATTGTTAGTAGTAGTGATAGAATTCATACTGTTTATAAGCCCAATCGACATGACACTCTTTGTGGGTCTAATTCAAGGATCGGAGCTACTTCTTGCACAGAATCTGATAAAATCCTTAATATCTTTTCAGAAACTTTGGAAGATGATGATTCTGAATATTGCAACTTAGAAGAATATTATAAAAGTGAGTTTGGGAGATTACCAATTGGAAAACCTATGAATTCTGAAGCCTCTGATTTGGTTGTCGATAATCAATCTAACTACATTCCAATGGTAAGGTTTTTATTTGAAGATGATTCTTCTGATAATTCAGAAATTGCAGATTTTGGAAGATGCTTATTAGAGAATCAACAGCCATTTACCAAATCACATGGAAGATATTCTACTCTGGATGAAAATGTTTTTGGGCAATCCAGTATCTATGATCAGTATAATGCAGACCAAAAATCAATCGATGATATTTATTGCTCCGTAGACCATATAAACTCAAAAGTTTCTGATATATCAAAGGATGATCAAGGATCTGAAGAGATGAAAGATGATGATTGGGGCTTGAATAATAAAGCGAAATCAGGCAATGCAGTAATTCAACAGAATGAAATTAAAAAGACAGATTTGGAAAGCATAGAAGCTACAACGAATGTTAAGGATTTTGATGATCAAACTATTATGGAAACTACCACATCAAAATTGATAGTTCCAAAACATTTGATCATTTTTGATGATGTAAATAATTCCGAGCCCGATGAATCTGCTAAAAATGATAAAATAGAATTCAACAGAATCCATGGCAAGGTGAATCTAAATGAAAAGAAAAACATTATTTTGTGTCAATTTCCTAAGTTTAAAGAGAATCCATTTGTGATGAAAGACAAATCCAAATAACAGTAAGAATAGGTAAAATAAATTATATCAATCATTATTTTAGAGACGATCAAATTATACCAGTATTTTTATTACTATCTACCTTTTGGATGTCAGAGCACTGTCTGATGACATTAAAACAGTTGCTTTATTAAAACTTTGGGGTACTAATTTTTATTCAACTAAAATAACTCGGCAAATGCTGCAGATATATCGTATGCTTGTTCATGGTCTTTTGTCAAATTGCTACTATATCCCTGGTTTAGAAGATTTCTGGCTTGCTTTGTACCAGTTAGAAATGAAGCTGCAGAAGTGAAAGGTTTTGTTGAATTTCTTGAATGTAAATTCGAGGATGAATTAAGTATGCCATAGTTAAAAGAATATACTACTGATAGGAGAAAAAGAAGCATACGGAAATCTAAAATTTTGTTTAAATTTTTGTATTGTTTCAGAATTAAAACAAAAGGGGGTTTCGTAAGGGATTCGAAACGGATTATTAAGATATGAATCATCGATTAGTTTTGGAATGTGCAATTAATTCTGGAATTCTAAATAGTAGTGGCTGTAAAAGAGGTGATGGGATGTACAAACTGATATTAGTAATGAACTAGCATAGTTTTTAAGATAGGAGGTATTTAAAGATCTACATATGATTTTTTAATTGAATATATAAATATTTTGGATATTGTAATTACATTTTAAGCGTAAAATTTAGTAAATTTTTAAACAACAGAATCCGATAAATAATTTATAATTCAATCAGATGCTAGAACTTCTATTTGAACCATTTTCAAAAATATTAAAGGATGAGCCTATTTTGTGAGCATTATCTGCAATTTGTTTTGCCTTTTCACCACTAATTACTGTTTCTATTCTCTCAGGATGAACACGGTACTCAATCGGAGTAGAGGCCTCATGCTCTGCGACCGATTTTCCTGAAATAACATAGTCTCCATTTCTAATATCGGTTGGTACATGATAGGTCTCTTCATTTACCTTTTTTACAATATTATCATAATTTGGACCTTCTTCTAATCCCTTTGAAGCCTCAACGTGCTGAGTAATGTCATCCAGATGTGCCAAGTCTTCCTGCCTTGCAATTTCTTTGGCATTCTTCTGTCTAATCGAATTAACTTCATCAAGTATCTTCATCTCATGGGCTTGAAATGGAATTGTATGGGCTGGGAATGTAATTACCGGAATACTCTTTTTAGCCACAAATTCAGGCTTGAATTTCTCCTCAATTATTATTCTATTCTTCTCATCAATAGCTCTTTCAACATCGTGCTGGGCCATATGTTTCTTTTTATCAGCAAGATCTCTTTCAGCTCTCTTTGCCTCCAGATCCTTTTCTCCTGCCTCAATTGCTGCCTGTGCAGCCTGGGATTCTGCAGTCTCCAGGTTTGATTTTTTTTCATGTTCTCTTTTAACTTCGCCCAAGCCTGGTGTTCTCTTACCAGATGGTAGAATCTCTCCTTCCCTGAGACCATGTGGTACTTCAAAAAGTTCCTCATGATGTACTCTACCTCTTGTTGCATCTTCAAGCTCCCTATTACAAATTTCACAATCTGAAGCATATTTGTGAACATGATCATCCAAGGCAAAAATATTCCAAATCAGAAATAGAAAATTCATTGTATGCAATCTTCTCGAAACTATTTTAATGCAAATAATGTTTCAGACATACTATCACATTTCCAAAATGGACAAATTATATGACAAATATATCTAAATAATGATTTATCCATAATCGATTGGGTCGATGAAACATGTATTAAAAATATGTTTCAACAATAATCGAATAATTGATAGGCTGTATGTGAGTTTTTGCATCGTTGAATTATCGAGCTGTCTATTTTGGAAATGTGATAGTATGCATTTGAGGGCAATCTCCAGCATATTTTAATTCTTATAATAAATGTTTTTAAGCTATTTCTAGCTTCATCATTGTTAGATTAGATTATTAAAATATTTCTGATCATTTAATTTAAACTTTACCATTATTCATTGGATCAGCTAGATTTTTCTAATTCACTGCAAACTTTGGGATTTTTAACTAAAGATACTATATTAAAATTATATACTTTTTTAATACATCTTGAAACATTATTATAAGCATACTCTTAGTAAATCTGTGTATTATTTATTAATGTTTTAATATTTCACGGTAGAGATCTTCATCTGCCACTCGTCTTATAATCAATGGAACATTGGGGTGTTGAATGGCAGCTCGTGTATTTTCTTGACTCTCGAAATCCATCGGGGTCCCTCGAATTCTGGAGTTATATTCATTAAACATGGGATCATTGCACAAACTTACACGCTTGGACAGCAAATCATTCATTGTTTTTACAAATTCTGGAGAACTATTGTATCCTGAAGGATGCTTATGAAAGCTACTGGATGAAACTTGTTCCTCTGAGCCATTTTGGGTTTTTAGTAGATCGCATCTGATCGATGTAAGTAATGAGAATAACACATTTATGAACATAATAGAAAATTACAAAATTATTAAATGGTTTCATTTTGAAACATAAATGATCAGAGAAGAAACATTAAGCTATCCAACCACAATTAACATACAGTGACACAATAAACACTATGGTATATCTGCATATTAGCTTTCAATAAAGTGGCAACCCTTTAAGGAACAACAATCTTTTGGAAACTATTTAAATTGATAATATTTAATCATTTGGAATTAACTTTATTCACCGGGTCTATGACTGTATAACCTTCATCTTTTCATGCATATATATCAGATATCTTGTCTTGCTGGTTTTGTCTGCTTTTCCTTGTTAGAAATTCTTTTATTTTTTGTTTTCTTCACCCATACTATTCTATGATAAAAGAAATAAAGTCATTTAAAGATAAGCTTGTCGAGGCAGTGATAGACATCTACGAGAAAACACTAGGAAAGTATATACAGGGACTTTTTGTCAAGCCATCCCGTATTTTATTTCTGGGAATCGACAATTCTGGGAAAACAACTTTGGTAGCCAAATTGAAGCATAATACCAATCATGTTCATCTGCCTACCAAGCACATGGTTCAAGAATCATTTCAGATTGACAATCTTCATGGAACAGCATTTGATCTAGGAGGGCATAAAGCAGCCAGAATTGCTTGGAAGGATTACTTTTACCGTGTTGATGGGATTGTGTTTATTGTAGATACAGCAGATGGTGAAAGATTCTCCCAGGTGAGAGAGGCTTATCAAACAGTCTGTAACTTGGAGAAATCAGCACCGATTTTAATTCTGATGAACAAAATCGATTTAATAGGTCACGACAAGAATTCTATTGTGGAAGATTACTCCAAGATGGATCAGCTAGAGGCTGCTGTGGGAATTGACAAGAATAGAAAGAATATAGAAATTCTCTATTTAAGCATTTTGAGTGAAAGCACTTATGACGAAAATGGGGTGCTAAGGAGCGGATTTGCTTGGTTAGGT